CTTTCTGGGGCATGTAAACCCATAAGAGTGTACAGGAACACCCTTTCTGGGGCAATGTACACCCTAAGAGTGGTACAGGAACACCCTTCTGGGGCAATGTACACCCATAAGAGTGTACAGGAACACCCTTTTGGGGCAATGTACACCCATAAGAGTGTACAGGAACACCCTTTCTGAGGGCAATGTACACCCATAAGAGTGCTATTAGCCTTTATATGATACTTACAACACCCTTTGGGGTGTTCATAAACATGCATTAGGTGTGCTTCAATTCTTCATAGGGTGTTCGACAAAGCACAGTTGTGCTCTAGAGCGCTGTTCGTTTGCAGTAGCGCCATGCTCTTACTGTTGAAGTGACAAAATATTTCACAGTAAAAGAGCATGAGATACAAAGAGCAACGATACAATAAGAGCATAAGATTAAAAAATTAATGATGCTAGATCTTGTCAGAAGTAACCACAGAGAGATCCATGGTTTTCAGTGATTTTCTCACAGCCTCATCAAGGTCAGGTCATTCTATAAAACAGTTGTCCATAGTTATGTACATGATATTATATATAACGTTGACTACAGAAAACTGATGCATGATGCACAAGTGATATTTTTGCTCGAGGAGCAAGCAAAAGCTCAGCTCAGTAAGCTCCAAGAATGGATCATTTGCAGCAGCTGTAATCCGGGAAGTGGGAAGAAAGATGTATGCCAATACCACAATACACACTGGCATCTAAATTATATTTTCACACTCACTTGACCAACTTGAAATATGAGAAGGAAATGTACAGTACCATGTATGCTCATCATTAGGAAAATGAATTTACCTCTTCCTGCTGCTTTGAAAGGGATCCCTATTGGTTTGTGACTCCAACTCTGTGGCAATATAATATATTTTAAACACTCACTGACCAACTTGAAAATATTGCGACGTAAAGGGTACAGTACCTGTATGCTTATTAGATGCATCAGGAATGGATGAAGTGACTGCTTCCTGCTAGCGTGTGCAAGGGCATTCTATTGGTTTGTGACTCCACTCTGCAAAGATATAATTGTAACCAATCATTGGCGATCCATTTCTTCAGCAATTCAACTCCTATATAGCCTTTTAAAATTCCTCTTCATATTAATGAAGAAATACCAACATCTGAAAGCATTGAAAATACCGATTGCATGACTCACTTTCAGCCCTACTGTTCTGATTCTTCCCTACCAGAACTTGACATACTGGTACTGGAAGTAGTAAGTAGTAACCAGGATTCTAAATACACGCTGGCCGCCTCCTACTCTCTCCTTCTCAATTCCCCACAGCGTCCCACGTCTGGAGGAAAACGTCAGGAAACTCCAAGCACTAACCCAGGCTTGTAGTTACCCATCGCTGCTGCGCTGCTGCTGGCCTGTGATTAACTGGGCAGGAAGAGTAGATGGAGTCAAAAACAAGTCAGGCGCTATTCGCAGTACCGAGATATGATCAGTCCTTTTACGTTTTCTTCGACGGGGGGTGACGTACATCGAAATCTTCTTTTTATCGCGGCGTTCGTACAATGGTATTCGTCTTCTGTGGTCTTGGCTCCAGAAAGCATTAAATCTGTAGCTTGAGTCGCCAAAACACAGGCAATAGATATAGTTCTTCTACTTGCCATTTGTTGAAAATGCGGCCGAGAAATGATGTCACTAACCACAGGTGTAGTGGGCGTGCCGGTTGGTGGCAAGGTCATGTGGCTCGCAGACGGACCTTCGAAGCCGCATGCGCAGTGGGTTGTTGTGACTCGGTTCTGTTTATGTCATTCTCAGTACATTGATATGATGCACAAGGTTCTCCAGCACCAATATTTTTTTAAAGACATCTTCATGGTATTCATCTCCTGATGAGGATCAAATTTAGCTCCATCATAAGTCTCTTAATTTTAACAATCACTTTATCTTTCTTTGCACCTACTGGTGTGGGAACACAATAACAATTGAAGGAATGTGGATATGGGATGAGAAATTTCGAAACATTGCACCTGCAATGAACAATAAATTATTATTAAACAACAATGCACAAGGCATGAAAGGAATGTGATATAGTGCTGGGGTCCGTGGGTCAGGTAGGAGTAACCTTAGGTGTGTTGTGGGTGGAGCACTAGAATGTGCCCTGGTTTGGGTTTAAAAAAAAAAAAAAAACTCAACTCTTTAAAAAACTCTACATCCAAGGTGTTAGTAAACACCTACTAAGCGGAAGGAACCCCCCTTAGGTGCTCAATCACCTGCCCAGTTTGGTACAGAAAAAAGGGTGGTAAGATAACACCATATTTTTAAAGTTTGTCTGTAGAGAGAATTCATCAGGATCCCACGGGATCGTTAGTTAACTAACTTTTGCATAACGTTTTTGTTTTGAGGAATAAATTACCTAAGGCTCCGTTGCATCTCCAGAATTGTACTCTCTTGCTTCCTGTGTATAAAATACACCAGAAAGCGATGTATCATAGAGGGTTACCAAATAGACATTGGCTAGCTGGCAAAAGTACAGAAGAGGTGTAATACCTGACAGCTTGTTCTCTGGGGACAATACGTTGTACCAGTGACAATACAGTCACTGAATCAGTAAACACTAAACAGTGCTCCAACACTGCCACCTATGATGATGCTGTGTTGGCTGCCCAGGTACTTGTAAATTCCTGGAGTGAATGAATACAATAAACAGTAGAGAGGTTACGTAAATGAACAGCAGGATTGCGGCGGGTATTTAAACCTGGGGGTAGGAATTTGCTTCAGACATCTGACAAAGGCCCGTCCACAACCAGTAGTGTCAGCCAAATCCACACCATCATGATGACAGTCAGCCAGTCTCTTTTCTGATCCAGAGCAGTTCACTCCAGACAGAAGACTCTGGAGGTGAAAGTCACCAGGCTGCAGCGGTCTAAGCTCAGTAGTTTCTGCAGAGAAGTTAACAATAGTGTAATCTGACCTGTTCTGCTTTAAAACATTATGAGAACTAACCAACTTCAGCATATCCTAGCTGTCTGCAGGCCACTTGGGCATTTTCATTAGTCCAGTCGCTAGCACACACTGTTCCCCAGAGCCCAGTGTAGCAGACTTCAATGTTACCACTCACAGAGTCAACGGTGCCGACTGTACCACCTTGCACACGTATGTCACCGTCTCGACAGCTACCTGGAGGGGCTGAGGTCAGGAATGGTGGGCCAACACTCCTCAGGTTGTATGAATAAAACTTGCCTTCACATATTACACCAACATCATCCTCGTGTAAACATACCCCCACACTATTCACGTCAGAATGAGAGCACTCGGTTATTTTACTCTCATTGCCAGAGCACACCACATTCGAGATGAGAATAGGTTGTGTTGATGGCCCAGCACCAAACATTGTATCTGTCGTAACTCCAATGGGTACTATGTGAACGTAACCTTAAAATGAATAACAAGAAATTGTCTATAAACTCACTCGACGAATCACTGCCCAATCCTATCTGCCTGCACACAACGGAAGCTTCGAGACTACTCCAATGTTCGAATTCGCAGACGGTTCCCCACAGCCCATTGAAACAGACCTCCACTCTCCCCGCCAGTTTGGTGCCATTTACTTGACGAACAGCTCCCGTCTCACACGTATTATTCTCTGGAACTGACAGAATTGTTAGACGGACCAACAAACTAGTTCAGTAGTACTGTTAGTAGTATGTACCATGGCATATGACTCCTCCAGCTCTTTTGACGAGATTGCAGGTAGGTGCAATGTCCTCTGCATCACATCCGTGCAGGCTACTTGGTGGGTTCGAACTACTACACCACACCAACCCATAGGAATATGGTCCTGTTACATTCTCATACGATATGGCAACTGCATCTAAATGATCGCAGACACTCTCTAACCAACTTTATAAAGGTACACCACAGAGTTATACCTTTGGAAGGTAAGCCAAGCTGAGTACAGATGGTCTTAGCGTGGATCACAGTCCAGTAGTTAAAACTAGTGACGCATATGGGACCCCACAGAGAGCTGTTGGCGCCAGGAGGGGTGTAGCATGCCTCCACCATTCCCATATACCCATTGTTGCCTTCTGCCAGACGGACATCATACTCAGTGCAGGCGGGAGCAAGAGGACCTGTGGATGGTGAATAGCTTAGATCCCCCATGGTAAATTCAGCAAGTGGTTGCAGTGTTGAACCTATGAGATCTAGTGCCACGGGACTGCTTATCGTTTTACCTTCGCCACTTTCTCCGACATCAGCTCTGATTATTCCACCACTTGCCAGCAGTAGTAGCGACACGTACAACAATATTAGTTCCCTTCGCATTCTGTGACTCGCAACTAGTTAGTCCAACTTGCCGTTGACCGAAAAAGAAGCGACTTTTGGTGTGAGTGGGGGAGGGTCTTGCTATTATGCGACACTACACACACACACACAGCGTCGCACTCGCCGCCCTTGTGTGCGCATGCGCGCGGGAAAAAATCTCAGACAAAACGTCATTCTGGAGAAGACCTCCGCTCATGAATAGTAAAGAGTGAGCTACCGGTGTCGTCCAACTGCACCCACAGGAAACATTTGTAATCAACAGCATTGGCTAGCAAAATCTATCTCACACTCCTGAATGCACGTGCTCGTACCACAGGTCGCACTGTAACTTGCTGCTTACCAAAATTTTACTGCATTTGTTTTGGAGGTGTAGTTGTGCGGACTGGTTTAAAAATAACTAGTTGATGTGATGATGACACCAGTGATTATTACTCTGTGACTTTATGGCTGTGACAAACGACATGATAGCTCTGACTTTATATATCGACTGACTGTATCTGTTGCACTGAACGGACAATATTCCCAAAACTGCTAAACTGTGCTGAGGCTGCTGAGTGACTTTGGAAATGGACTGATTCAGAACTGGAACGAGACTCTGGGGACGAGAGCCGAGGAAGATTCAAGTCATTAATCACACAGTTAACCCCCGGCCCACCAGTCTCAGAATTGTGGTCCAGCAGACTACGATGGTCCAGCAGTCTCTGGAGAGGGTACGAGAACTGAGAACGGCTTCCAACAGGGCTCGCTGCATACTCCTCAAACTCAGGGCTAGCTCGGCGTCATTGCTGCTCGGTGATAGACTTAGCCTCCAAGTCGCACGTCTCAGTCTCTCCAGTGGCAGCATACCCACTGGCGTGCTGCCAGAGCCTCTGAGACTGAGAGAGCTGAGCCACGGGACTGTGGAGGAGACACGTCTGAGGCGGAGACTCAACAACCCGGACCGTTGGAAGAGAAGAGCATTGACAACCTTCCCACCACAGAGGACACGGGGAGGAAAGGTTTTCCCCTCCTTTTTCGGAATTTTTTCACCTCCTCTCCCTATCCTCTTCCTGCCTCCCCCGCTCTCACCCTCGTCTCCCTACCCTCTTCCCCCACTAGTGCGCCTTTCGCAGTCCCTGTTCTCTGCCCCTCTCCCTCACCCCTCTCCCTCCCCACCCCTACACAGCTTCTCCTTTTCATACTTCTCCTCCCTACCTCATTCCTTGCTTTTACTACCACTTGCCTCAAGAGGAGAAACAGTGATCTTTACACTCAGTTGATTCTCAGATAGAGAGCTGTTTAGATCATCTTCGGGTGCAGAGAGGAAATTTTCAGTTTGGATGACTTTAGATTTACAGTTCTCTCTTTCACACGCCTCCATGTCTTGCAGGGGTCTGGTCTCAATATCAGTTTTGCCTCCGTCTGGAATTTCTATAGTCGACCAAGAATCCTTGTCTCTATCTTTATTCCTGATATTATGTCTCTCCTTTCTTTGCCTTCTCTTTCCCTTTCTCTCCACCTTTATTCTTTCTCCTGCACCAACAAGTTTCTCACCACTCTCTGTCGAACTGTGAGTAAAGACTCAACGTCTGAGACGGCAAGTGAGCGAAAGGTTTGGGCACTAAGAGAGAGATCGCCCTGTGATGACCTTTAGCAGAAATTTGAGCTTTGTGATGAGAATGCGGGGGATGGCCATTGGAGAGCCTTACAGGCTATATATGTTGTTGGCTGTATTATTATACTGTAACCCTTGCTGCGCATGTGCGCGAGGGTTAATGAATCTCTGTTTGCCTAGAGCAAGAGCAAAGGCATGTTTAGTGGTGTGGGATCAGTTCACAGTCTTTTTTCAAAAAAGCTGCAGATGGTGGCACACAATACATTCTGCTGCAAAACAGAATGGCTTGTTATCTGAGCCCAAAGCTGTACATGTATCTCTAAATAATGTGTCTGCGTAACACAGACCCCCAGGCATATACAGTATACCAATTGGACTCTGATGGGCGTAAGGATGCTTAGCTAATTTAAAGGCTTCGATATTGGCCCTAATGTAGCGTATAAAGTTTTAGCACTGCTGACCAAAATTACCGATTACCCCTTAAAAACCACGCTGTGACATGCAGAGTATTATGTATGACAACTAATCGACTTACTGCACCTAAAACAGGGGGTTACTAAAATCACTTCTGTGAGTGGATTTGAAATTGTACTCGTATTGGTTCTTTGTCTGCAGTATCTACTAAGAAGAGTTAGGATGAAGGTAGATGAGAGAAGAGAGCCAAGTACGCTATTCCCCGCGTTTTCTTTTTGTACTTGTTTGTTCCCCGCACCCCCTTTTTTTTCCGCGTAGATTACAGGACAAGAGCCCCTCGTGAGTGGTAGTAACCTGTATCAGTCAAGAAAAGCGTGAGAAAGAACTGAATGCCTCAATATACACACATTAGTGCAAATTCTCAATGCAACAGAAAGTGCATGCTACAAAACGGCAGAAAGAGGAAACTGAATTTCTCATCTCAAGGCATAGGTCAAAACAAAGTAACTTCAATCTCGGTGAGCAGGAACTCGCTAGAAGGTTTTGAGGTATACATGGTTGTACGTTTCTCATCAGCTCCATTAATCTGGCATCTCGATTGATGACACACACAA